AACTAATTAAAAAATATAGATATCATTTTTAAAAAATATTTATTCTTAGGTTTAGGTAGATACAATATCTTTATTTTACATTTATGTGGTGCTGAGGATCGACCCCCAGTGCCTTGTGCATGCTAGACAAGCACTCTACCATAGAGCCACAACCCCATTTTTAACACCTTGTAATCATGAGTCTAAAAATGAGTTTTCAGTGGGCATGGTGATACACATTTGTAATCCCAGCAGCATGGGAGGCTAAGGCAGGAGGATCCCACATTTGAGGCCAGCCTCAGCAATTTAGTGAGACCCTGTCTGAAGATAAAAAATAAAAAGGGCTAGAGATGTAGCTCAGTGGTGGAGTGCCTACAATAAGCAAGCCCTTGGGTTCAGTGCTAAGTGCTGTGTGCCATGAGCACATACACACACACAAATGAAATTACCACATCAAGATGGATATACATCTTAAGTATCTTTAAATTTTTATTTAGGTGCTGGGGAGTAGCTAGGATTATAGGCATCCTAACCCTGCCTGTCTGAATCTACAGCCCAGAGGTGTGCACTCCATCACTGATCTACACTACCTCAGCCCTTTTGAAATATTTTGACTTGTCTAAAAAGTATTAATTTAGGAGCTGGTTATGGTGATGCATGCCTGTTATTCCAGTGGCTCCGGAGGCTGAGACAGGAGGATCACAAGTTCAAACCCAGCCTCAGCAAAAGCAAGGCACTAAGCACTCAGTGAGACCCTGTCTCTAAATAAAAAAGAAAATAGGGCTGGGGATGAGGCTCAGTGGCGGAGTGCCCCTGAGTTCAATACCCAGTACCCTCCCCCCCCCCAACACACAATGATATCAGTCAATCAATAGAAAGTACTAACTTAGGGCCGGGGATGTGGCTTAGTGGTAAAGTGCTCACTTAGCATGTGATAAGGCGCTGAGTTTGATCCCAGCACCGCAAAAAAATAAATAAAAAAGGAAATTTATATGCCAGCCAGCGGTTGGTGGAGCCTGTTTCCTCATCCCTCTGACTTAGGCCCGCACTGCGTTATGTAACCATTTCACACACCTTTTCCATGGCCATTTAAAGAGCGTTAACCCCTAGGAGAGTTCCTTCCCAGTCGCCCCTTGAAACACACGGGTCTCTGTTGCTCTCTTGCAGGACAGACGGGCGCCGGCAACAACTGGGCCAAGGGCCACTACACCGAGGGCGCAGAGCTGGTGGACTCGGTCCTGGATGTGGTGCGCAAGGAGTGTGAGCACTGCGACTGCCTGCAGGGCTTTCAGCTGACCCACTCGCTGGGCGGCGGCACGGGCTCGGGCATGGGCACACTGCTCATCAGCAAGATCCGCGAGGAGTACCCCGACCGCATCATGAACACCTTCAGCGTCATGCCCTCACCCAAGGTATCTGACACGGTGGTGGAGCCCTACAACGCCACGCTGTCGGTGCACCAGCTGGTGGAGAACACGGATGAGACCTACTGCATCGACAACGAGGCGCTGTACGACATCTGCTTCCGCACCCTCAAGCTGACCACTCCTACCTACGGGGACCTTAACCATCTGGTGTCGGCCACCATGAGCGGGGTCACCACCTCGCTGCGCTTCCCGGGTCAGCTCAACGCCGACCTGCGGAAGCTGGCCGTGAACATGGTGCCCTTTCCGCGCCTGCACTTCTTCATGCCGGGCTTCGCGCCACTGACCGCCCGAGGCAGCCAGCAGTACCGCGCGCTGACAGTGCCCGAGCTCACTCAGCAGATGTTCGACGCCAAGAACATGATGGCTGCCTGTGACCCACGCCATGGCCGCTATTTGACCGTGGCCACCGTTTTCCGTGGCCTCATGTCCATGAAGGAGGTGGATGAGCAGATGCTGGCCATCCAGAACAAGAACAGCAGCTACTTTGTGGAGTGGATCCCCAACAACGTCAAGGTGGCTGTGTGCGACATTCCGCCGCGTGGCCTGAAGATGGCCTCCACCTTTATTGGCAACAGCACAGCCATCCAGGAGCTGTTCAAGCGCATCTCGGAGCAGTTCTCAGCCATGTTCCGCCGCAAGGCCTTCCTGCATTGGTTCACCGGTGAGGGCATGGACGAGATGGAGTTCACCGAGGCCGAGAGCAACATGAACGACTTGGTGTCCGAATACCAGCAGTACCAGGATGCTACTGTAAACGATGGAGAGGAAGCTTTTGAAGATGAGGAAGAGGAGATCAATGAATAAAGGCGCTGCCCTGTCCCCAACCAATGTGAAATGCGCGTATTCTTCCTTTTACCTGATGGTTGTGGAGGGGTGCACTGGTCTCTAGATACATGGGGTAGGTCCCTGGCAAGTGCAGAGCTGAGAGGTCAGCTGGAATAAAGTCCATATTTTACAATAGCAGAGAATAGGCGGTCCTACCCTTTCCAGTCAGCCTAGTGAGATTCTGTACTGGAGCATTTGAGAGAAACAACTAGGGAGCCATGAAGGGCTAATGGAAAAAAAACCCACCTGCCAGTATGCATTCAGATATCTGTGAGAACTAGCAAGGGGCTTAGAAACAGGGTGTTTTCATCCTTCCTGATGAACATTGGAGCTTGCAGTGTTGCCTTGTTTGAATATACAGTATGGAACTTTGAAACAATCTAGTCATAATAAAACCTATTCTGTTGTGGCATCCAGCCCTGTGCAACAGAAAGTTACTTTGCATGGTTACAATGGCAAGGTGGGCCACTGGTCTTTCCCTGGGGTGCACTGCACCCAGCTCACTAAAGGAACACTGGGGCCTTTTTAAAACTGGAGACTTCAAAGGGTGGCAATCACATTGTTCCTGAGCTTGGAAGTAGTGCAGACGTAAATGAAAGCCCTTCTGCCGGTTTGTTTCTGCAGTGCTGGGGATGGAACCCAGAGCCTTGCCCTTGGGGCAAGCCCTCTACCAATGACCACGCTTCCAGCTTCTCGCCTGTTTACAGTCCCCATTAAGTCCTACAGAATCTTTCATCTCACCTGTCAGGTTCTGGGCTGCAGGCTCCCAGCTTTCTTGCCAGAAAAGCCCACCGGCAAGTGGAAACACCCAGCTCCTCAGAGCTGCCATGTGTTCTTCCACCAGCATTGAGGCTGGGGGCTGGGGGCTGGAACCAGGCCCAGCTTGGAGAGGGAGGGGCTTTCCCCACTTCTTGGTTTCCACAATTTCTGTGGAAAGTTTTAAAGCCAAATCCAGCTGGGTGTGGTGATGCACACCTGTAATCCCAGTGGCTCAGGAGGTAGAAGCAGGAGGATCACAAATTCAAAGCCAGTCATAGCAACTTGGTGAAACCCTGTCTCAAAATAAATAGGGCTAGGATGTGGTTCAGTGGTAGAGCACTCCTGCATTCATTCTCTGAAAAAGAGGCAAATGCCATAGGACTTGACAGGTGAGCTTTACTGGTAATTGGTAGACCTTGCTGTTCACTTGTACTTCTGGTTTAATCCTTTTGACCCTCCTGAGGTTAGCAGCGACTGCGTGTGGCTTTGCTTCAGACCTAGTGAGCATGGTGTTACTCCCAGGTGAAAACATTCAAGCCAGTGCCCACCTGCTGGCTCTGCCTTTCTCACAGCAGCCTTGATCCTTCCCACTCATTCATCTAGTCCCTGAGTAACCATGTTGAGCAGATACCCCTCTGCACTTTGACAGAATGAGACAAAGCATTATTTGGAACTGAAAGCCAGCATTACCCCCAGCTTAACCAGAATGCCTATGCTCTGAGACCCCAGTCCTTCAGTAACTTTGCTTTGTTATGCCCCAGCCTTGGGCAGATAGAAAGTTAATCACTGAACACAGCAGTGTGACCCAAGGTGTGCAGTTCTCATCTGCAGAAATCTAATCTCTTGTGAGACAACAGACAACAGTAATCTACCACCTCACCACTCATATCTATCCTAGAAGACACTGCTTTGACTAAGGAGATTACGATGACTGTGAGTCCCAAGAGTGGGTCAGGCTCCACCTGTGCCACACAGGTGACTCTTTCCATGCCTCGTCCTTCCTCATCCACCTGGGCAGGGCAAAATAGGTATGGAGGCCACACTGGCTGGCCAAGACCCAGAGCCTTAGCATGCTTTCCCTCACTAAAAATGCCATGTGACTAATGTAACTTTCCTTACTGAGCCAAGCCTCACTCATAGGGTACTACTCGCCCTGCCCAGACCAGGAGGACTCACAGCTGAGGCCTGTCAACCTTGTACTTCTCTTTACAGTGGTTCTGCTGGGCGGGGGAATAGGCCCACCCTTGTGCCCAAGTGGTCTTTACAGCCTGGCTACCTCTCAAAAGCACACAAGGAGGGAAGGAGCCGGAAAGCCCATTCCTTTTGCAGGTCACCAGGCACGACAGTTGCAGGTAGAGCGCCAGCCAGGTATGGAGGCTCCCGTTTTGTAATGTGGGTCTGTGGAGTACACAAGGCTGCTTCTGTGGCCTACCCCCAGTGTAGGGCTGCTATAGGGATGCCACCAGATTGAAAAGTCACTGTTCTCACTGCTCCAATGTCACACAAAGCAAGCTGGAACAGCATTAAAGGAGGCAGCTAAAAAAGAAATACTTACAAATGCACCAGTGTTTGGTGCCTCACAAGTCCAAATAACAGCATCTGAAGACAGTTAAGTCTTCTTCACACCATCTTCTGTAAGAATTTTGATCTAGGTTTGCAAACTTGCAGTTTTCTGGAACCATACACTTAAGCTTTCTGATAGCAAGTAGCAATTATTAAACAGACCACTCCCAAGGCATCCTGGGGGATCCATATCCACTGTCACCTTTTTGAAAACAAGGCGTGGTTAGGGACAGATGACCAGCCACACCAACCTCTAGACTGAGATGTGTGACCCCCACCTGTTCATGATGACCCCGACCAACAGGGCTTATCATTCATCCTCTCAAAGACCAACTTTGGGAACCAACATGTATCATCCCGGGATACAAATCCAGAAGACACTGACCTCTGTGGGAACTGACGAGGACAGTGAGACATATTGTGAAGAATTACCCTCTAAAACATAAGTACATTTGACTTCTTGTCATGTTTTCTAAAAGTAACCAAACATAAACAGTGATCTTTGTGCATTCAGGAAAAAAATACAGTGTTTACATTTTATTTTTGGTGTAACGAAGCCATATTTATATAATACATTCACATTTTTAAATATGTTACAGTTCTCTATAGAAAAAACATTGTTAAAAAGCAACAAGTGATCTCGATCAAGTTTTCAAAATATTAAGTCAAATCAAAATCTTATCAGTACTCCAATTTAATCTCACAAGTCCATCTGCAGAAAGAAACTCAAGAGAAACAGGAATGAAGAATGGGTGACGAAAAGAGAAGAATCTCCTCTTCCCTTGTTGTGGAGATCCCACAGATGCCTCCTGCCTGGCTTGTTGTTGGTGTACCAGGGACTGGCCTGGAGGCAGAGAGGCCATGGCACAGTGATCTCCCCGACCTTCTAAGGAGAGGCTGGGGTGCCCCTCCACCCACACTTCCAGTTGGGTCGGCTGCTGGCTCAGCAGCTGGCTGTATCCACTGAGCAGTGCTGTAACTCTTCTGAAAGCCAGGGCTGGAACAATGTGCAACTGGAAACCCACAGGCCCATACACTAACACTAAAACGGTCTCCACCCTTGCATCTGGGTGGCGACTTTCTCGCCGGAGGGCTCCTCTTTCTCCTTTTCCCGCTCCTTGTTCCAGTCCTTCAGGCCCTCAGGAAGAGAAGTGTCTTCATCCAAGCTGCCAGTGCCTTCCACAAATTCTTCATATGTAGACTTTTCTGCAAATGGTCTAGGGCCCAGAAGTTCAACCATATCATTTTTATCTAATACTTCTTTTTCTAACAATAGAAGAGCAACCTGAAATACGAACAACTTCCATTAAGTACAGTTATTTAGCAAGCACTGTTCAAAACTAACGTTTTTATTTATAGCTGACCTTACCTCAAGAAAGGATCTAAGATAAATGGGAAAGATGTCTCATAAATAAGGTCACATGACATTAGAGTAAGATGTGTAGAATACGTGAAATAACAGTTCCCTCCTGAGCGAGAGGGCACACATGGGCACATCTGCAGGATGAATGACTACATGTTTCTGATAAAGAATAAGGGCTCTCTTGGTTAATTTTTGTTTCACTGGGGATTGAACCCACGGGTGTTCTGCCACTGAGCTGCATCTCCAGACCTTTTTATTTTTTTTTAATATTTATTTTTTTAGTTTTAGCTGGACACAGTATCTTTATTTTATCTTTATGTGGTGTTGAGGATGGAACTCAGTGTCTTGCGTATGCCAGGCGAGTGCGCTACCACTTGAGCCACATCCCCAGCCCAGCCCTTTTCATTTTTTTTTTAAAAGAGAATTTTAAAAAAAAAATATATATATATATATATATTTTTAGTTTTCAGCAGACACATCATCTTTGTATGTGGTGCTGAGGATCGAACCAGGGCTGCATGCATGCCAGGCGAGCGCACTACCGCTTGGGCCACATCCCCAGCCCCCCCTTTTCATTTTTGAGATAGGATCTGGCTAAGTTGTCCAAGTTGGGTCCAAACTTGCAATCTCCAAGTAGCTTACACTAGGTTTGCTTTTCAAAGCAAATAATAATATATTTTTTTATGTGCTGTCTTGGAGGCCATTAGCTTGGGGTTGTTTCTCACCTATAACTCACACACAAGCGAACTGAAATTTCCTTAACAGCATTCTCTGTAGCTGATTTTGAATGGCGCTTCAACTAATCACAGCCAAGCAGCCTGTTAGTTATATAACTTGGGACTTCCTATTACACCATACCCAAAAAAGGTAAAGGCTTAGCAGGAGCCAATCAAGCAGCTTCTCTACTCTGCTTCAGGGTTTGGCTCCAAAGCTCTCTAAATATCTTCTGCAAAATCTTCTGATTTTGAGCACTGTTGGATTTATGATTTTTTTTCTTTTTTTGGCTCAAACTTTTTTTGTCCAAGTTTTCCTTTTAATGTGCTTCTATACACAAAGAAATATAATATTCTCAAAGAATATGTAGAAAGTAACAGTGGTTTTGTGGAGGGATCAGATTAGAAGAAAGGAGAGAAATGGAGCTAGCTACGAAAAAAAACATAACGAAAGACCCTACAAAACAAACAAAACCCAATGAAGACAACCAAGTCAGGCACAGTCATGCACACCTGCAATCTCAGCAACTCCTCTAAGGCTGAGGCGGCAGAATGGCAAGTTTGAGGCCAGCCTCAGTAACTTGGCAAGACCCTGTCTCAAATAAGAAATAAAAAGGGCTGGGGATGTGGTTCAGAGGCAGAGCACCCTTGGGCTCCATACCTAGTACCAAAACAAACAAATAAATATATAAAAAAGAAAGAAAGCAGTGCCTGGTGCACAAGATGCTGGGCAAATGCTGCCTGCCCACCCTCTTCCCCCCTGACACGGGGGCAGACATTGCCTTGCCCAACTCCTGAGGCTTGGGTTTAGAGGCACTGGCTGCAGAAGCAAGGCCCAGCCCTTTGCTCTCAGTAGACTTCTCTTGCTGGCTCAACATCTTCTTAATATATTTAATTTTCTGAGTAGCCAGAAAATATTTCAGAACTCTGTGGAGCACTTCAAGATCCTGGGTTCCATTAATTTTCCTTTTTATAAATCCCAGCAAACATGGAAGGGTAAGATAACTGGGTTAAATTTCTGGGACCTCTTTGAGCATCTACTGTGGGTGAGCGGAATCCTCTCTCTAGTCCTGTGGACATGAGTGTGTAACCCCATAGAGCCAGTGACCTACTGTGAGCCCTCTCCTTCCGCTTCTATAGCTCACCTCCTTGTTCAACAACTTCTGTCCCTCAGTGTGGACCTCCCATCCACCTCCACTTGCACCTGCACAGCGTGCTGCTCTGGTCCTGGGTGGGGAGACTGAACCCTACTCCCACCTCTCCTCCTGCCCTTCCCTGGGCTGCTGCTAGGTGGTGCCTTGGAGCCTCTGAGGGCTTCTTCTCTTCCATTCTCTGTAAATAACAGGCCTGCCTTGATTTCTGCCATCATCCCCAGTGCCATCTGAAGAGCATCAGGCCCCCTTGCAGCTAGCTGCCTGAGCAGCTTGCTCTTGCCTTTCCACCTTATCAAGTTGGCAGTTTTAATCATTCCTGCTAAAAATTCTTTAGGGATTTCTAGAAAACATGGGGGCTGGGTTTGGTTAGTTTTAAGGGCACTTGTATTTCTAAAGCTGTTTTCTCCATTTTCTGCTAGCTCTGGAGGGCCTTGTGCTATGACTGCACTGCACAGGCCCAAGCCTGCCCTCCCTGGGGCCTGTTCCTCCTGCCTTCTCCTCCACTGTGACCCGATTATCCTTCAAGACACAACTCAGGCCCTGGCTTCTGCAGAACTTCCTGGGCCACTCTGCCCATGCTGACCTCCTTTCTCAGGCCCTACTGCTCCCTGTCTCAAGGACACTGCTCACCCTCCAAGTACACTGCACATCTGTGACAGATGGTATGATTTTTGGAATCACCTTACAAGGGACAGTCTTGTAACTGGCTTCTCTGAAGACCCCTTTATTGAACAGCATATCTTATGTTTTTACTGGCTGGGAGCAGTGGTGCACACCTGTAATCCCAGCAGCTCAGGAGGCTGAGGCAGGAGGATCATGAGTTCAAAGCCTCAGCAATGGTGAGGCACTAAGTAATTCAGTGAGACCTTCTCTCTAAATAAAATACAATAGGGCTGGGGATGTGGCTCAGTGGTTGAATGACCCTGAATTCAATCCCTGGTTCCAAAACAAAACAAAACAAAAACAACAACAAAAAACTCCCCCCAAAACAATGTTTTTGTTTGCATCAAAGAGGCTTTTTCATTTGTGTTTTTCTTATGAGTGTGTGGTGTGGTATGTACAAAGAACAAAAAATTCTAGTTTTGGTTGTATGGATTCTGAATATTTAAGAGGTTACTGAATGCAAGAAACTGAGTTCAGAAAGGGCCCTCCCTTCAGTGGGTGCCATCAGATGAGGTACAACGCTGAAAATCAAAGCATGTTCATCTGTGGAGGCCATGACAAGACAATATAATTTTCATGTTCCATTCCCACCTGCCTAGTTGGTCTAATTTTTTCATTTCTCACTACCTATTTACTCAAGAGGTGAAAAACAAAGATAAATTCCAATTAGGCAGGTGTGCTTCTTAGGAGTACTGGTGAAGTGTTTGCCCAAGAGAGCTGGGATGGTGCAAGCCTCTGGTCCCACCATGCACCTCCTAGAGATGGCAGACCCTGAGCATCAGCATGAATGAGCCCCAGGGGGAGCCAGAGGGAGGGGCTTCTCAGGACTGGACACCAGCTGGACCTTTCACTGCAGGATAGTGTGGAGACTGCCTGTAAGACTGGTGCCTACCTTCTCCACCTCGGCTTTCTTCTCTGTGAGGAGGGCGACGGTTCTTTTATAGGCATCATTAATCAGCACCCGCACCTCATCATCTATGAGCCTGGCGGTGGCTTCACTGTAGGGCTTCTCTAATACCATGTCGCCCTGACGTGGGAGGTCAAAGGAGATCTGCCCCACCTTTTCATTCATGCCAAACTGAACAATCTGAAAAACAACACATGACCAGTGGTGGTTACAAATCATTACTCTGTAGCCTGGCAAAACCCATGCAGTGGCTTCAAGTTGGGAAAATGGACAGGATGTTTCAAGCAGATGGTGGCAGGAAGGGTTTTGTGCTTTAAACTCACCAGAAGCACACAACTAGAAACACACAGACCACACCCACAACACAAC